CCTTGGGTGTTCTGGAAGTAGTGGCGCCATAGTGGCCGGATCTTGTCTTGGCCACCCACATCCCACACAGTGAAGCTGATATTCTTGTACTCAACGGTTTCCACATTAAAACCTGAGGGTGAGATTATAGCTTAGGGTCCCCTGGACCCATCAACCCGTCCCTGGCCTCCCGAGCCTCCCCAGCCCCTGCCACACAGCCCATTCAGAAATCTCACCTATGGTGGGAATAGTGGTCACAATTTCACCCAGCTTCAGTTTGTAGAGAATCGTCGTCTTCCCTGCAGCATCCAGGCCCACCATGAGGATGCGCATTTCTTTTTTGCCAAAAAGGCCCTTGAAGAGGTTTGCAAAGATATTCCCCATCCTTGTGGGTGGTTGGAAGCGACACTGGCCAGAGACCTGGGGAGGCAAGGTGTCCGGGCCTGTTTCCATGTTGCAGTGGACAGAAACCCCCGGCCCAGGCACATGTTCCTCCTGAAATCCCATGGGGGTATGACAAGAGCCCAACAAGGCCTAACCTAGCTGGTGGCCCAGGAAGGCAGAGATACCAGAGTGACCTCTTGCCTCCCAGCACATTTATTTGGCCTGATACCATCAGGCTGCGGGGACATTTGACACAGCCACACTTGCTCCTATTTGTGGAGTAGGCAAACATCTGAAAACTGGGTTTTCAGAAGCATGAAATATTGCTACAAAGACAGCTCTTAGGGGCTAGAACCACTCAACATCTCTCCCCACACAACTAGAGAGGAGGGGCTAGGAGGCCCCCCAGAGGATTAGAGAGCAGGTGTCACTAGTCTCAGGACCACAGGCCAAACCTCCCCAACACACCCAGGAGCTCAATGTGCTGCCTCAGCACAACACAGGACAAGCCAGGGAGCACTGTGGTGTCACCTGAGCCAGTCAAGCAGGCTCTCTGCCAGCTCAGGTCTCAGCATCACCTTTCATTTCAGATGACCCAGGTAGCCAGGGCCCTGAGGAGCACATGGTTCCGTGATGCCATGCTGCCACAAGGGCTTGCATGTCAACCCACACTACAACTACAGGATCCATTAGAAAAGAAACGCAGGAGACACCAAGCAAATCATTTGTTACCAAATCACCAGAGCCTGGTCCAAGACTTGAAGTGCCTCTGGGAAGGTGATGAAAACTGCCCAGGCTCTGGCCTTACCATCCAGGGCACTTTCATTTTTCAGTTGTTTTTAGTCAAAACAGAAATTTATCACTTTTTAAAAATGTTGATTGCTGAAGGCCTTCAACTGGGGGCTGTGCAGCCCTCACCAACCAACAGGAGGGCAAAGCAGCTCAGTGAGATAGGGTAATGAGATGGCTACAAAAGAACACCCCCACACAGGGCAGCTCATCAACGTGTGTTTACTGCTTACAGCTCCAGGGCTGGAAGTCCAGAGTCAAGGCCTGGCAGGTTCCATATCTGGTTCTAAGATGGAGCCTTGTCCTACATCCTCCAGAGGGTAGAGGCACAGGAGAGAATCCACCCCTGAAAGCCCCTTTCAAGGCATCACTGATTCATTCACCAGGTCAGAGCCTTGTGACTTGAATACTTGCCTGCTACTGTTGCACTGGGGTTCAACCTCCCACACACAAATCTTGGGGGACACATTCAGTCCACAGCACTGTGTCAATCAGGAACAACAGAAGTGGGAGAGATCACCTGCAATTAACTGCACCACCAAGTCACCTCAGATGGCTGTCTTCCTAGCACCCACCTGTGGATCTCCACTGCCCATCCATCTCCAGTGACCCTGTGTACCCAGAAGCATTCTGGGAGATTCCACCCCTCACTATACCTTCTCCTCCTCCAGGTTCAGAGCCCCCGATGACGCCCAGCTGCAAGGGTATGTATGCCTTACAGTTGGGATGACAGTCAAACGTTACTTTCTAACTTCCTCACCTGTGGTATAGTACTCACTTCAGGGACACCTTCCCTTCTCCATTTCTTGGTACTGCTCAGTGGGCACCTGTCTTGCTCAGGGGATTAGACCCAGCAGCCCTGCTGATTTGATATCACCATTGTTCCATATATAACCTCTGGAGCCCTTTCATGCTGGATCCTATGCCCTGGGACAGTTTCCCTTTTTGGATTTGCACATTTCGTATTAAAAACTTACTCAATGTCTACAATGTAAGCAGACTCTGCTAGTACAGTCCCTTTTCTGGGTTAGCTAAGCTCCCTGGGTAAAGAGCCTTTGGGAGACAGAGCAGACAAGCACCACCCTACCCCTCAGAGCACTCCTGAAATCACTGCCCATAGGGCAGTAAAATCTCAAGAGAGAAGAGAGAGAGAGAGAGAGAGAGAGAGAGAGAGAGAGAGAGAGAGAGAGAGAGAGGAGCGAGATATTTAGGACTACATGTGTGGCTCTCACCTTTAGTTCTCATAAGTCAGGGGTAAGAGAAGAGTAACAGTAACCTCAGACCCACAAGCCTCCCATGGGGATCCAGGGTCAGGGCGAGAGGAATGGAGTCCAGGAGACCAACACCCATCCATGCAAAAAGCTGCACCTCCTGAGACACAGGCTGTGGACAGAGTCCAGCCCTGAGCACCCTAGGAGCAGATGCACCAGGCAGACACCATAGGGAGGGAGAACAGGAATGTGAGCACACGGAGAGCCCTGGAGCACCCAAGCATATAAAGACATGGTCAGTCTAGGCCTCAACGCAAGGACCCACTGACTCAGCATCTGGAGGCCCCATATACTCTCAGAAAGCCTCCAATGAGCAACAAGCAAAAAGGAATTTGGAAGGAAGCAGGAAAAGACAAGAGATGGAATTTATCTTCAAGGAAAAACAGGGCTGGGGATGTAGCTCAGTGGTAAAAGCACTTGACTTTTGGCACCAGGTTAGATATCCAACACCTGAAGGAAAACAAAATAGGAAATAGGAAATAAAAACCAAAAAGGAAAAACAATTAAGCAAACAAAACAACAAAAAATCCCAGACCCACTCTCAACACCAATAGGTTAAAAGATACTATGTCTACAAAATAAGAATAGGATTCTGAAACAAAAACAAGAGACTTTTATATACAATACCAACAGCCAAAATGAAAAGTTTACAATGAAGGCTCTCAGAAAGCAGGACAAAATGAAAATATGGGAAATAAGGAGCAAAATGAAGATCAACATCAAAGGAAGAAATAAAAAAAGAAAAAATATCAAGGAAGAACCCAAGGAACTACAGGGAGATTCTTAAAGGCTGAGGCCTTGCCTGTAGCACTCTGGACACAGCAGCACCAGCAGATCAAAGGCTGGCTCAGGTGAAATTCTTGCCCCTCTCTCAACACTGAAAACAAGACTCTCAACCAGGTATTGGGAAGAAAAAAAAAAAAATCTCCCACAGAGACCCAGGTACAGGGTGAGAATGAGAAGAAGGGAGCCCAAAGTGATGGGAAGCAGCTGGGAGACAATCCCATTCAGATTCAGCACTGCCCACTGTTGCCGCCACCTTCTTCTTTTTTTTTTTTTAAATGGTGCTGGGGATTTAATCCAGGGCCTTGTGCATGCAAGGCAAGCACTCTACCAACTGAGCTATATCCCCAGCCCACTGCTGCCTTCTTGTGCCAAGGATGCCTCAGAATTACATGTGCTAGGCCTGGCCTGCCTTGCAGCACCCTCAACAGAGGAGCTGTGGGGACCACAGTGGTCACAAACCCCTCCCCATAGGTGGTTTTCTTTTTAAATTTTAAACCAAGTACTAGAGTCACCCCTCCCCAAGGGGAAAAGCAGTCACACAATTTAGTGGGGGAATCAGGAAGAGGTGAGCCTGAAGTCTCAGGTTCAAGACACACCCCACAAGCACTCAGGCCTATTCTACTGTCTTCACAGGCAGAGGAGGTCAGAGCTTCCTGCCTCGACACGCCCCAGTGTCCCTGTGGGGCCTGGGTATCATCCACTGCTGCTTTCATAGGCCCAGGTCCAAGAGAACCTCTGCATTGGAGGAAAAAAAGTCACTGCCAAGGTACAGGCCCCAAATAACTGTGCAATGCCCAGCCTAGGTACTGTCACCTTTCCTCCACCAGAACACTGTACAGAAGCCAAACCTGCCTTTCAGGTTCCTCTGAATTACCCTGTTATTAGTAAGCAGTGAAAACCAACTTCCCTGAGAGTCTCCTGCCCCTTCCTTCTGTGACTCCACACTATCAGAGGTCATGCAGTCCCATCATGGTTCTTTCCTGCCAGGCTTTGGGCTCCACCTTAGGCCAAGAAAGATCCTTCACAAACAATGTGTTCTAAGACACCAGTGCAGGTGGTCTCTGCTCTGGAGTCTCTCTGGCAGGAGGGAACCTGCTGGCCTCCTGAGCTGGGGTGAGGAGATAGAGCAGCTTCAAGGAGTGAAGACTACCTGACTGGTCCAGGTGCTAAAGAAGACACTGACTAGCAGCCAGCAACCCAACTGTCCCTCCATAGCTCTCAGGGATACCTCATGACAAGCCAGACAGCCCTTGTCTAAATTCGGCTCTGGAGAACAATAGGTTCAGGTAGAGAGTTCAGTTTTCCTCCAACTATTAGTGCTGTTCACAGAACCTAACTAGGAAGGCAAGGGCCTGCCACTGGAGCACACAGGGATGGATTCCATGTGCCCAGACTTCTCCCAGTTGCTGATCCAGCTGGGGGCTATGCTCATGAATGCTGTGCTCGYACAATGTGTTTTACTACCATGGAACACTGGTGACATTAAGAGTTCTTCTTCTGGGCTAGGGATGTGGCTCAAGCGGCAACATGCTCGCCTGGCATGCGTGGGGCGCTGGGTTCGATCCTCAGCACAACATAAAAATAAAAAATAAAGATGTTGTGTCCACCGAAAACTAAAAAAAAATTCTCTCTCTTAAAAAAAAAGTTATTCTTTTTTTAAAGCTTTATTAAAGTCAAATTATTATAGCATTAATTACATACAGTAAAATGCACTGATAAGTGATTCATAATCTCAGCTTTCATATCTAATTTGAGGAAAATTTAAAAATTTGAAGATTTTTCTGGAGGAACTTATATCATAAAACATTTTCTTTAAGACTTAGCAAAGAGCAACCGTGTTCCAACAGTGATGCAAGCACAATCATTTGTGTGAAAGCCTGATTCATTTCCAATATAGGAGATTCTTAATTTAAAGCGGCTCTTCTACCTTCTACTTTCATGCGAGACTTGGCGAGATGTACTCTGCACACACTGCTTTCTGTGTAACAATACGGGGTCTTAGCACATCTATTCCTAAAGTTTCAGGTCACTGCATGCCCCTCAGCCATGTCCAGGTTTCTAGGTCTGCTGTGTACCTGCACTGCACATCTTGACACCATTTTATAAAACGTGTGTAAGAAAACCATATGTGCTGATACTGTGGACAGGCAGACACACATTGGAGGCCTCAGAACTGTGACAAAGGTATGA